TTACTGAGAGGTTGAAAACACAAAATATAGTGGAAACAGACCTGATAGATTAATTTTTTATTGATTTCACAGGCTATGAATTTGATAGAAACAAGTGTCTATAAAGTGATTGTTGAAAAATGACATGGATCAAATTTAGACAACTTGCATCGCATTATGCAGCATTATGCAGCATGCAACATTGCTGCATAATGCATATACGGCACATCTCTAACTAGTATTGGATTAGTAGACAAGTAGACTACGAACGGACGGGAGGGAAGTCTTATATAGATTTCAGTGCTAGCAGTGGCAGCAAAAATTCAAGAGATCTTGCCACGCTAGCTTTGATCGTTGATTGTGCTTGAGCTGCTTGGCACTTGGGAATCTGTAATGACGCGTACGGCGTACATCTATTTACCCATCAAGATGTTAGATGAATATCCGTTGTTACTATCGTAACATTTCTGTGCCCCAGAATTTCATCATTTCTTATTTTTACCCCTGTATTATTATTATTATTATTCCTTAAATTATCAGATGATCTTGCTTCCGATTGTTCTTCCATTGTTCCACCTTAATTTCTATTTTTGTATTCACCTCTTCCTTATCTGTTTCATTATACTCACCATCTGTTATTTCCTTATATGATCATGTTCTATTGATATCCCAATTGTCCTTTACATATATCCGATTTCTGAACTAAATTGTGATCCATGTATGTAAACTGGTCCGACATATAAACAATAGTCTTCTAATTCTTGTTGGTACATTGAACCTTGATCTTTGAGATAATTGGTTTGAGTGCAATTCTTAATTCGGACCTTGGCATGTTAGAAGTCTCATTGGTGTTGGCTGTAAATAAAGATTAGTAATGTGAAGTGATGTTAGACAAGTGTTGTATTATTAGACTTTCTAGTTAGCTGACATGTATATAAACTCAATATCTTCACTCTCTTGTAAAGACAGGTTTGTTGCCTTGTGCTTTGTGTCCCAACGTTTTTGTTTGAGGTTTTTGTTTTGAGTAGACAATGGTTCCTCATTGATATTGAATAAACGTATTGTCTTGTTAGACTTCGTGTAGTTTCAGTTTTAGTCTGTTTTTAGTTTATTCAGAATTTATTTGTTTTTGTATTTTGTTTTTGTATTTTTCTTATTTTATTTTATTTTATATACTCACTACCCAACCTGCTATATTATACATTCGCTTACCTCCCTGATCTATCTTAGCACTGACCTATCTGACACTCTCCCAATTTCAGATGGTAATACCATGCTGTCTGACGATCTAAGCGTATCTGACCAATCAAAATTCATCACGGGTTAAGGTATATTTTGCATGTTTTTAAGATTTTGAGCAAAGGTTTCTCAATAAATACCTAACCAAATTCAATAAAAATTTTTATTTTAATTCTACATATTCATATAATTAAATAAATAAAAAAATTCATCAAATTTTGTAAAGTATATGTCAAGAAAACTTCGCTTAAGTTTAGAAAGAATCAGTTTATAGTAAATTGGTTTTGAATTTTTAAAACTTTGAACGAAGGTTTCTTGATAACTACCTAACAAAATTTGATAATTTTTTTTTTATTTAATCCTACACATTCATAGAATTAAAAAAAATTTTGTCAAATTTTGTCAGGTGTGTGTCAAGAAAACTTTGCTCAAAGTTTAGAAATAATCTGCCCCATCTGTTAGTAAATCAAGTGCTTCTGAATTTTTTAAAAATTTGAGCGATAAATGCCTGACAAAATTTGATGAAAATTTTTTTATATTAATTATATGAATATGTATACTGTAATTAAAATAAAAAAATTAATCAAATTTGGTCAGGTGGTTATTGAGAAAACTTCGCTCAAAGTTTAGAATTTGCCTATCAATAAACAAAGTGCTTCTAAAATTTTTTAAAACTTTGAGCAAAACATTCTCAATAACCACCTGACCAAATTTGATAAAAAAATTTTTTATTTGATTCTACATATTTGTAGAATTAAAATAAAAAAATTTCATCAAATTTGGTCAAGTGCATGTTGAGGAAACTTTGTTCAAGTTTAGAATTAGTTTTGTCTTTTTTGAATTTTTTAAAACTTTGAACACAGATTTCTCAATAACCACTAAATTCAATGGCAATTTTTTTGGTTTGATTCTAGAATGTGTAGGATTAAAATAAAAAAATCATTGAGGTTGTCTTGTAGTTATCAAGAAATCTTTACTTAAAGTTTTAAAAAATTCAAAAGCACTTAATTTACTATGAAACTGATATATTCTAAACTTTGAGTGAAGTTTTCTTGACACATATTTTACAAAATTTGATGAATTTTTTTTTATTTAATTATACTAATATGTAGAATTAAAATAAAAAAATTTTATTGAATTTGAGCAGGTATTTATTGCTCAAAATCTTAAAAACATGCAAAAATTGTTTATATGTATCTTAACTTGTAATGAATTTTTGATTAGTTGGGTATGTTAGACAGTATTACTATCAGTTGGAAAAGCAGTTAGGCAGTTAGACTAGTTTAGCTTGATAGTAAGTGTATATGCAGTCTTATTAGATAATTGTATATAAAAAACAATACAAGTTTATTAAATAAGTCTATAGGGCTGAAATAATAAGATATGAACTGAAACTGAATATAACAAATTTAAAAGATAAAAATAAAAATATAAATAAATATAAATAAAACAAAAAAAATAACAACTAATAAAATAAAAGAAATAAATAATTCAAAAGAAAGACAAAATAAACAAAAACTAAATATGAGAAATCAAAACTATCCTAATCGAAGTCTGAAGTCTACTCTAAGGTGAAAAGACTGCCTATTTATACATACTTTCAACTTTAGACCTATACAGAACTTCAAACCCAAATTCCAATATCCAAAGTAAATTTTTCAATACAGCAAAATAAAATATCCTCAGTTTTGGCTTTATTAAAATCTATTTTGTCTGCCACTTGTTTCTGAGTTAGATTATTTTTTAATTTGTAACCTAATATTTTTTGACAGATTTCAAACTTGGCTATTTGGAAAGGGGTAGAATTTTCTGGCAAATCATAACTTATTATTTCATTTTAATGCCATTCAACTCATATCTAAAGAGCTTTCACATGCTTCTAGCAAATAAATATGTTAATATGAAAAATTTAAAGCACTTCTGGGTGATGCAATATAATCAGAAGATAGAGCAACAGGATCATCCATAGTCAAGAAAAACCACATGCCAGACAACAGGGATATAATATATAACAATATACACTAACAATAGCATGGGTAAATAGATATACATGGAGGACTTTAGTGTTTATATAAACTAATACAAAAATTATATTTTGATATAATTAGCTATGGCAAATAGTACTCCAGGTCCTAGGAGCAAGATTTTGATTAGTATCCATTATCAGGTAGCAAGTATTTTATGTGGAAGTTTATATAAGAAGAATAATTTAATTGATTAATAATTTAATAGAATTATAATGAAATCAAAAAAAAAGACAAAAGAAGTTATATACTATAAATTACATCCTAGATACTATATACATACAGTATACCCTGTCAAAACTGATCCTGTCAAAACCGATAACCTTTTACAACTGATAAAAAGTTGATCCACCATATCAGTTCCATAATTCAAATCCGATAACTTGCTATTTCTGATAACCGATACTCAAAATATCAGATATCTATAAGGTATCGGATTTGTAAAGTAAAATTAATTGATTTAATTAGCTCAAATCTGATTTTGTGTAATCAAAAATATATGTATAAACATAATTTGGCTAATTATATTTAGCTATTATCATGTGACCATTAGGCTATTAGTATCTTAAATCCAATAACCTCTCAAAGCTGATACAAAAGCTATCCACTATACACACTGGTTTTGATAGGGTATACTATATCTGGATCTTTTACAATTATAATTGTAATAAATACTTGATTAATCCTAGATACAAATCATAGGAGGTATACTAAAAAGAGTACTATTTGCCAAAAAATAAGATACCTTTTTGTCCATTTGCATATTATATAGGCAGATTTATTTCTAATATAATTATTGCAAATCTTATACTAATTGGCTAATTTATTTATTTTACTATTAAAATTTAAAGCTTTATAAAAATAATATAACTTTTAATATAGAACATATTACACTTAAAAATTTTATATTTATATACAACAAGATTACAGTTTTTTGGATCCCAAATTTAATAGGTAGACAACATATAATTATGGAACTATATAGTATATGGTAGCAATAATTTTGAAGAAAAGTTTTATAAATTGATATTACATCCTTTGTCTAAAGCTATGCAAAGTCTAGTAGCTCTAAATTTAAAAGTAGAATTTGTTTAAATAACCAACTATGCTATAAATATTAAGTTGAACTGGTAGTATTTGATAAATACTCAAACTCAAATAAAAAGCAAAAACAAAAGAATACTAAAAACAAAAGTTCTAATGAACAAACCAATACTGAAAATTGTTATTAAAGCAATATAGATATAATAAAAATACATGAAAACAAAAAAAATGCATTTGAATAGTACTTGAAATCTGCTAGAGGTGAAAACCCCAATAGTAATTAATTATTAAAAATTGCTACCAAAATGTGATAGGTAAATTTAAAAATAAGGCAAAAGCATTTGAATAATATTTAAAATCTGCTAGTAACAAAAATTATAATAAAATATTAAATATTAAATATTGTTACTACAATAGAATAGGTATTTCTAAAGATAAAAAAGACTTATTATTATGAAATTGAATATGTAAAAAATGATTTTAATATTTATTTTTTTTTCAATTTTATAAATTAATTTTTTTGGGTTTTATAAAGTTTTAAATTGTTATGTTTTATAAGCAAAATTTTAAACTCTGTATAGACTAGCAATACATCACTATGGCAATAAATTATAAAACCTAATTTTTTTATCTAAAATAAAAAAAATATACAAACTAAAAGTTTAAATAATCTATCAACTTCTAATAAAATTAAAAAAGAAAACAAATTTTTTTAATAAAGTTTATAATAAATTTTTTTTAATATGAAAGGTTTTTCAAATGCCTCACAGGTTATACAATTTTAAAAAATTTATAATTTGGAATTAAGAAATGGAAAAAAATAATTTTTCAGTATCACTTTATTTTTTAGTTATTAATTCAAACTTTCAAAATTTTAGACCAATATTACAAATTGTGTTAGATTAATTCGAAGATCAGTATAATATGACAAAGATAAAATCTTCTGAATACTTTTTTTTATAATTTTAGTCATAACTACTTAATCAAAAGTGCTGTGAAAATATGAGTTCATGAATAAATAATATGAAAGAAATAAGAATTTAGCTCTTTTGAGTTATTTT